AAAAAAAAAAAAAAAAAAAAGACTTCTAATAGGGTTGGGTTTTCAGAGTCCACCTATGCAATATGAGTCAGCAAATTCAAGCTTTGCTTTTTCCAGAGTCAACTAGAGTTCTCAGGGCCAGAGAGAAAGGCTGTGTCAAGTTTCTCTAGCCAGGCCATCTTGACTGAAAGGTAATTAGTAAAAATCTTTGCTGTGGAACAATAACTCAACAGCCCCAGGCATCTCTAAAATGGTCTGCCTTGGTACAATATGACTGTCATATTAAATTTGGCATTGTTAAACTCAGTGAGGCCAGGTGTAGTGGCCCACGCCTGTAATCCTAGCACTTTGGAAGGCCGAGGAAGGAGAATCACTTGAGGCCAGGAGTTTGAGACCAGCCTGAGCAACACTGAGACCTCATGTCTGCAAGAAATAGAAATATGAGCCAGCCATGGTGGCATGTGCTTATTAGTCCCAGCTACTCAGGAGACTAGGACAGGAGAATTGCTTGAGCCACAAGTTGGAGGTTGCAATGAGCTATGATGATGCCACTGCACCCTAACCTGGGAAATGGAGCAAGACCTTGTCTCAAAAAATCATACCAAGAAACAACAATAAAAACCCCTCAATGCCATGGGGTCCTTAGCTGTTTCAGTGCCTCAAAGCAATGGAACATAACAGGTAGCCCAAATTCCGGTAGTAAGTAGGAACAAGTGAAATGCTTAGTGTGATTCTATTTATATTATTCATGACAAGCTTGGAGAATTTTTAGTGAGCAACATCTTTTCATACCTCTTCAGGTTTTACTTCTCTTGTTGTGAAGTCTTTAACACAGTCCAAAAAGCAGGTTTCTGTAAGTTTATTGTAGGTCCCAAGAAATTCCTTAAACTACAAACAAATCAGAAGGTTCTTTAATATTTGATTTTTAAAACAAATATGCTTTGAAACTTAAATTACCAATAATTTGTATTTAGACAAAATATCCTGTAATACCTGAAATCATAGGTTCTTTTGCTAGCTTAAATGGGTATAATACGATCTATAACATAGTCTTATTTTCTAGTTGAATATGTTTCCTTATCAGTCAAATGAAAAATACACATGCTTCACATCATTTAATATCCACTTTTGGAAAATGAAACAGAAACACTTATTTTGACTGACATGGTTGCATCCAGTGGTGCCTTTACGTTGTTTTGCAAACTCCCTTTCCCTTAATTAGAATACCTTACCTGTTTTATCTGATCAGATTCTGGTATTTGTGCAGCCATATTCTTTTGGTATGTTTATTAGTCACCTGATTTAAAAATTAAAAAAAAAAAGGTTGTTAATCTATAAACAATTGTTTTTAGGTTAACTGAGGAGTTAGGTAATCATTGTTCATATTTTGTAAATTTCTGTGTATGTAATATGCCACCCCTCCCCCCAGTTTCCCAGATCATTAATGATAATAGAGTTTTAAAATATTAGTATACATGCTAAAGAATTGTAACTTCAGGATAGAGCAAACTAATTTCACTTAATGAAAAGGAAGAGGCTTTTTTTAAAAAAAAAGATTAAAGCAACAGAAGTTTGGATTTTATCAAAGAACTTTAACGGGCCTCAGTAGTCATTTTATAATACCCTCATTTTCCAAGTAAGAAACAGCCTCTCTGGAGACATTCAAGCAAAAGTTGCACAACTCTCAGAAAAATAGGGGAAAAAAGAGGGACTTTTTCAACTTGATAACCATCTACAAAACTCCATAGGCTACATACTTAATGGTGAAGTAGACAATATTTTCCTATAAGATTGTGAGGAAAGATGTCCACTAAGACCACTCTTATTCAACATACTGCTGAAAGTTCTATCCAGTGCAATAAGGCAAGAAAAGGAAATAAAAGACATAAAGACTGTAAAGGAAGAAAATAAAACCACCTCTATTTGCAGATAACATGACTGTGAACATAGAAAATCCTAACAAACCTACAAAAAAACTTAGAATTTACAAGTGAGTTCAGCAAGGCTGCAGGATACAAAATAAACATACAAAAATCAATTGTATTTCTATATATTAGCAATGAACACATGCACACTGAAATTAAAAATACTATTTACAATTACTCAAAAAAAAAGATTTAGGGGTAAATCTAAAAAATCTAACAAAACATGTATATAGGGCTTATATGTTGAAAACTACAGAATGATGACAAAAGAAATCAAAGACATAAAAGTCTACCTGATTTCAAGACTTATACAGCTACAGGAATCAGTGCTGTGTAGTATTGGTGGAGGGACAGACATATAGATCAATGTAACAGAGAACCCAGAAATAGATTCACACAAATAAGCCCACCTGATTTTTGGTATAGGTGTAAAAGCAATTAAATAAAGGAAGGATAGCCTTTTCAACAAATGGTACATCTACAGTCACAAACTTTAACCATGAATTAAGTCTCTCACCTTACATAAAAATTTACTCAAAATGAATCAGGGATTTAAAAGTAGTAGATAAAACTACTAAAACTTTTAGAAAAATGTGAGAAAATCTTAGGGCTTTATAGCTAGGCAAAGAGTTCTCAGATTTGATATCAAAAGCATAATCCATAAGAAGAAAAATTAATAAATGAGACTTCTTCAAAATTAAAAACTTTTGACAAGGATTCATTGCTGCTAAAAAAAAAAATGCTTTGTGGCCGGGCGCGGTGGCTCACGCCTGTAATCCTAGCACTCTGGGAGGCCGAGGCGGGCGGATCGTTTGAGCTCAGGAGTTTGAAACCAGCCTGAGAAACGTAAAAAATGATCTTGTTCTGAAGGACTTTTAAGCCCTGACTTATATATATTTTTATTTCAAGATAGATAATGTGGCC